TTAAGTCAGTTATTTCCTCCATTCTAAGCTTAAGAGCTTCATTTAGACATACATGAATGTAAAGTTGGCATGTTTACGTGGTTTTCCAGCTCAAGGAAGTTAGATCATTGTTGAAACCCATTTTGACGATCAGTTTGTGCGGAATAAGAACATCTTGAGATTTAACGACCATAAAAATATAAATGAAGAACATAAGATGAGTAATTCCATGATTTTACTAGAAAAGAGAGATAAAAGTAATACATAAAGAACATGGGTTGGGAGAGATAACTCTCCCTTCGTGGGGGAGATCCCACACACACACTCTCTCTCTAGGAACACCATTTTAGTGCACTCTTACATTTTATATGACCAACTCTCTCTATATATAAGGAGAGAGAAACCAAACAATACAATAAAGAGAATAAAATAACCTAACTTATCATTCATAATTTGTAGAGCATTTACATACTCCAACATTCTCTCCCTAGATGATCGCAAATAATGAGGGATACAAATGAAGTGATAAAAGGCTAAAATATACAGTTTCCGACTAGGAAGTGTGGTAATAATGAGAACCAAATGCTGAAATGTCTCTGAAACTTTGAAGTGTCTATGATGTCTGAAACTAGTCGATGAAGTCTCTTTCGTCAAAGTCTTCTAAGTACCGAGGCATAAGCTTCTCCGGTGCTGAAGAGTGAGATGCAATCAGTGAACCGAGTTGATCAACTTAAAAAATGTACCAATAAATTTTGAACTGTATGTCCCGTAATCAAGTCACACTTCGGCTTCAAAAAATCTGAAACATCTCTTGTTCTCGAATCATAATACACCAAAAACTCTTCAAAAGAATAACCCGCTAAATAGGGGTGAGCATTTGGACCGGTGGACTGGACCGTTTTTTTTGGACCCCCGGGCCGGTTCTTGGTTCTAGGAATCCATCAAAACCGGTCTGTTTTTTTCCCGGTCCGGTCCGGTTTTTACCGGGTTTAGAACCAGTTGGACCCGATTTAAAAAAAAAATTATAATCTGTGAAATTTTTTAAACAACCATAACTCATTCTTTTTAAGTCAGATTGTAACATCCCGTTTAAAATAGAATAATTAAATAATAGACCCAAAACCCCGAGAAGCAATTTTATTATTATTATTTTATAGTATTAAAGCTCAAAATCAAATAATAATTAGTGGGGTGTTGGTTTCGGGAAGCCAAATGATATATTTTAGACTTTTGGGGGTTAAAGTTTAACTTTAGGATTTATTTTGTGAAGATTTTCAGGATTCAGGGGCTGTTTAGTAAGATTGAGACTTTATTGAAGTGTTGAGGGTTGAATCGTAATATCTGGATTTAAATTAAGAAGAATAAAAGGAGGAGGGGCTGGAAACGTCAAAAAGCACAAAACTTATATTGGAGACGGAGATTAATCTCGTCACCCTCCTTACAGCTCATTCGTTCAAACGACATGGAACCCTAACCCTAATCTTTCCTAGCCGCCACCATAAGAAGCTATTCCAGCCGCCGCCGCCGATGTCGATTCCGATCGCGACCTCTCCCGGTCTGCAACCTCGTCGTTGACCGCCGCTGCAGCAACCCCGATCGTCGGAGACGCCATGGGCAACAAAAGATACGCGAGGACGGTGGGGAACATTGCATTCGTCGCTTGTGGATCATGTAATATCAAGAAACTGCCGGTAAGTTACCTGCCACCTCTCCCTCTCCTCTCTTTTGCTTTTCCCGATGAGCTGATGTTATGCACGATAGTTGTTGTTGCCGGCAGCCCTAAGGTTGTCGTGTTGCTCATTTCAGCGTCCTCAGCTACCTAGTCGGTGGTTAGGAGTTGTGGTCTCGTGTCATGAACAGATGGGGTTGGGTGATTGATGTTTGGCTGAAAAGCAACCGCCACCACCCTGAGGTGGTGGCTGCCATTTCTTTTATCGCCACCAGCCACCGTGGGAGGGTGGTTGTGTGTGTGATTTAGTGTGTGTGAGCCTAATTCATGAGTTTAATGTTGTATGGACATTCTTGGACAGGGAAAAATGAAGAGAACTCATCACCGCCACCTGCTGCCACCGTTCCGCCACCTGTTGTCGTCGTTCCGGGTGGTTGTGGACTTTTGGGTGCATTTCGATTAATATTAGAGTGCTTTTTGTGTTGTGTTGGCCCAAGAACATGACCACCACCACCGTGAAGTGGTGGCTGCCGCCACGTGCCGCCGCCGGCCACCACTAGGTTGTTGTTTATATGTGTTTGTATTAGCGGGGGTGTGTGTAATTTTTGGAATTTAGCATTGTAAAATGTAACTAAAAAGAAGAATAATGGAAAGAAACTCAAACCATCACCGTGAGGTGGTGGCGGCAGGAGGTGTCGGGTGGCGGTGTGCTTTGCCTGGTTGTGTTGATTTGATTAGGGTGCTTGAAACACTAATGGGCTTAGCGAAACCATAATGAGCCTAGTGAAATCATAATGGGCCTAATGAACCTTAATTGGTCAAAGGACCTAGCTATTAGGCCTATTGGGCTAATATGGGTTGGAAACCCTAATTAGGGTTTAGAAAACCCTAATGCCATGAAACCCTAATTTGGGAATTATCGGGCCGCATCGGAATTATTTAATGAACTTAAAATGTTAATTAATAACCAATTACAATTAACTTAAGGCCAGGTGGGACTTAATGGATTGAGTCCTTAATGGGTTAAGTAGGGACACTTAACCCTAATCATCATTTCATGAGAAAACCCTAATTTCACTTGGGTTTATTGTTGGGCCTTTCTATTAGGCCTTGATGATTGGATTATTAATGGGCCATCCAAGAATAATCATATAGACTGGAATATGTTGATGGGCTTAGGGTAAGGCCCATATGAGGTTTTGGGACTAATTTGGAAAATTAGGCCATAAATGGGCCATAGTTTGGGCCTTAATGATTATATGATTATTGGGCCACTAGAATGTCAAATGTTGGACTGGAATAAATGGTTGGGTCTTTGAATAAGACCATGTAAAGGCTTGGGCCCAATTTGGAAAATTGGGCCATATGTTGGGCTTCAGCCCATTATTTGACTTTTGGGTTTTTGTAGTGTGAGTTGGACCTTGGTCTTGGAACCCAATTATTAATTAGGTATTGCTTGATGTCGACAGTTCGGGAACCTATCAACCAGTAGTTAGAGTTTTATCTGTGGGACTTCGCCGTGCCAGATGAGTCATCCTCACAATACTAAGGGGTCTAAGGCACCAAGGTCGGCCCATTGGATTTGATATCCTAGTAGTTATTGATATGTTGAGTTTGAGTTGGTGATGTATGCCAATTGATATGCTAGTCGGTTAGACCTGTAGGACTACCTGTGATACTGTATGATTGTCTGTATGTGCATTAGTTATGTTTCATGTCGACATGTTAGGTGGGATGGGTTGAGGTTTTAATGCTCCGTGCGGTAGCCAACAAACCCTAGAGTATTCCAAAAATGAGCTGAGGGCCGGGCAAGGCATGCTAGACTCATACTGAGGACTCGGGAGTATTCTAGATATGAGCTGAGGGTCGGGCAAGGCATGCCAGACTCATACTGAGGACTCGGGAGCCTTCCAGATACAAGTTAAGGGCCATGTAGGGCATGCCAGACTCATGTTGTGGGCTCGGTGGCAATCCAGATGTTAGTTGTGGGCCGGAAGGCAATTCAGACTCTCACTGTAGGCCTAGGGGTAATCCAATCTGTAAAGTTGTGGACCCATTACATGTTGTTCAGTTTGTTATGTTATGATATTGTTGATATTGTTATGTGGATTGTATGTGTATCAGTATTTTGGGGGTAACTCACTAAGCTTTGTGCTTATGGTTTCAGTTTATTGTTTCAGGTGCTTTAGATGACTTGGCAAGGCGAAGGCGTGACCGTACACATCCTCGTGTTTTGGACTTATGGTTTCTAGGATACTTTGATATTAAACTATTTTGAAAACACTTTGTAATAACTAATGACTTTTGGATGTTTGAAAAAGTTTTAAATTGGCTTGATTTTTATGGGTGTTACACGGATTGAGACACAGTTTTTTCCAACGTTTAATTTACAGTTTGTAGATGAATTTAGACTATAATTTTGTTGATTTTGGTATTATATTCAATGAGTTACAGTCTTTCAAAGTTGAGTTATCAAAGCTGAAAAATATCAGCTTTTCAATAACATTTTTAAAATTTTGTAATTTGTGAAAAATTTTAAACAACCATAACTTATTCGTTTTAAGTCGAATTGATACATGTTTTTTTTCTAAAGTTTAATTTACAATTTGTAGATGAATTTAGACTATAATTTTGTTGATTTTGGTATTATATTCAATGAGTTACAGTCTTTCAAAGTTGAGCTATCAAAGCTGAAAATTTTCAGCTTTTTAGCAAAATTTTTAAAATTTTGTAATCTGTGAAAATTTTTAAACAACCATAACTCATTCGTTTTAAGTCGGATTAACCTTCGGTTTTTTCCAACGTTTAATTTACAGTTTGTAGATAAATTTAGACTATAATTTTGTTGATTTTGATATTATATTCAGTGAGTTACAATCCTTCAAAGTGGAACTATCAAAACTGAAATATTTCAGTTTTTTAACTATTATTTTAGACTATAATTCTAAATTTTATGTATATTTGACAGATAAATCATATGAAAGGGATCTTGGTGAATTTGATTTATATGTTAGTTGTTTTTATTTGGAAAATTAATTTTGCAAGTTATAATATTATAACATCAAGGTAGATTAGTTATGCATGAAACAAAAACATAATCATTTTTACAAGTTGTATCGTATCAAACCCAATAACATATTCGTTTTAACGAGTTATATCAAACTTAAAAACTTATTTTAACGACTTGTACTCTATGCAATTAAAGTTGTACAGGTCCAAGAACCGGACAACCCGGACTGGACACGGACACGACTCATTCGATCCGGTCCGCGGTCCACAATATTCTCCATAACCGGTCCGATCCAAGAGCCGGTTCGGTCCGATCCGATCCGGTCCGGTTCAGTTCGGTCCAATGCTCACCCTATATGTGAATACTTCCAACAAGTTTGTTACCTAGATGTGTACAAAAAAAAAAAAAATTACCCAAATGTAAACAAACAGAAAAATTAATTACCTTTCATATTCCATCAATCAAAATAGGATGATATAATAGTTATTTACAGTTTTTCAACTTTGTAATTTTTTAAAAGTTGGGGGTGGATGGGCCAAATAAGAATCTTGAGGGGGAAGAGGGGTAGAGGGCTGAATTAATTACTCGACATAACGTGATTTGCCGTCAAACGTTAATGCTTTTCTCCTTTAGATTTCATGCTCCGTCAGGGTCGCTATACCAAACCTACAAATCGGAGAACCCCTCTTCTCTCACCGACGAAACCCGGTCAATCAAATCGAATTCTGGGCGTTTACTCAATTGTTTGTTGATTGGAGGTCTGTTTTCGCAAACAACCACAATACATACGTATATAGAGCGAACAGAGCTGGGTGAGCAACACAGACAACTAGCAAAGTAAAAGAAAAACAAAATCAATGGGTGTTCCGGCGTTTTATAGGTGGTTAGCTGACCGGTACCCTCGATCAATAGCGGACGTCGTGGAGGACGAAGCATGCCAGGGTAATGGGGTTGAATTGTTAAAGCCGAACCCTAACAACATCGAGTTTGATAATTTGTACTTGGATATGAATGGGATTATTCATCCATGTTTTCACCCCGAAGGAAAGGTAAATTACTTTGTTTCACATCTGTTCTGAAAAAATTATGTGTATCGGAGTTAAACTACTACTTTCCAAAAAGAAAATCTGAAAGATTTTTATCGAATTTAACACCACTATCTGTATTTAGCACACGAAGCTTGGTGTAAAGTTTCAACACCTATCCTTCAACTATTGCATTTAATCCAATTTGACATTTTTTGTTCTTGCTCGAATCAAACAAGGATTATAGAACTTGGATTGTATTATTTGAGAATAGAAGGTATTTTCTGATTAAGTCTTGCACTTGGTATTGCAGCCTGCTCCAGCTACGTATGATGATGTATTCAAGTCAATATTTGACTACATTGATCATCTCTTCTCATTGGTGCGTCCAAGAAAGATTCTTTATATGGCAATAGGTAAAGCCAACAACTTTCAATCTTTTAAATTATCATACAATTCCAAATTGAACTACCTTTCAGCTGTTTGCACTTTCAATTTTTTCAGATGGTGTGGCCCCGAGAGCCAAAATGAATCAACAGAGGTCTCGTCGATTTAGGGCTGCTAAAGATGCTGCTGAAGCAGTAAGATTCTTTTTTCTTTCTTAAATAATATGTAATCTATCAAAGTGGTTGAGATAATAACCAAATTAAGTAACTAAACTAATTTTGTGTCATTTAGGAAGCTGAAGAGGAGAGATTGAGAATTGAGTTTGAAGCTCAAGGAGCTGCACTTTCTCCTAAAGAGAAGCTTGAAACATGTGATTCCAATGTCATAACACCTGGCACTCAGTTTATGTCTGTGCTTTCTGTTGCCCTTCAGTATTTTATACAATGTAGATTAAACCACAATCCTGGTTGGCAGTATACAAAGGTTTATTGATAATCTTTCACCTTATACTTTCTTTTCAGCAAGAATCAAAGTGTTTTTGTGTCTAGTTTGTCATCAGTTCAATTCTAATTCCTTTTTTGTTATATATTTATTTGAAGGTGATTCTTTCTGATTCAAATGTTCCTGGTGAGGGAGAACACAAAGTAATGTCATTTATTCGGTTACAAAGAAATATTCCTGGTTTCAATCCAAACACACGTCATTGTCTCTATGGACTGGTGAGTTAAAGTTGTATTTGGTTATTTACCATATTACCCTTCTCCTTCCTTATCATTTTTATATGGGTTATTTTGATAGGATGCAGATCTTATTATGCTTGCTCTAGCCACTCATGAGGTTCACTTTTCAATATTGAGGGAGGTTAGTGGATAATGACATAATGTATAGTGGAATCTGTCATTTATGTTCAATGTTTTTTTTTTACCAATTTAACCTTAAATGCTGGACAGGTGATCACACTCCCTGGGCAGCAGGAGAAATGTTTCCAATGTGGGCAAATTGGTCATTTGGCAGCTGAGTGTCGTGGGTCTGTAGGCAACCATGTTGATGCAAATGGAAAGCCTGTAAATGATATTCCAATTCACAAGAAAAAATATCAGTTCCTCAACATTTGGGTGTTAAGAGAATATCTGCAATATGATTTAGAGATTCCAAATCCTCCTTTTGAAGTCAACCTTGAAAGATTGGTGGATGATTTTGTATTTCTTTGCTTTTTTGTTGGCAATGACTTTCTTCCCCATATGCCAACTTTAGAGATTCGAGAGGTATGTGAAGTAATTCTTTTTGATAAACCAATCATATCATAATGTGTTTCACATTTATTAATATCAATTTTTTTTTTCTTTTTTGTAATTCTAGGGTGCTATAAGTCTGTTGATGCAAGTTTATAGAAGGGAGTTTGTTACAATGGGTGGTTATCTTACTGACTCTGGTGAGGTATGTAATTTCTTGAATTTTTGTCCTTTTTCACACAAAAAACAACCATATAATCATTTTATATCAGAATGGTTAGAAATTGATCAGTTTATGTAATAGCATAATGAATAAATAACATAAAAATCCTTTTTTTTTTGTATGTATTATATACAAACACCTAAATTTCCAGGTCTTGCTGGACAGAGTTGAGCAGTTTATTCAAGCAGTTGCAATTCACGAAGACCAAATATTTCAAAAGCGGGCCCGCATACAAAAGGTAATTTTGGAAAATGGAAAATGGAAAATGGAAATCTCACTATAAAATTTATATGCTTCCTATAATAACTCATAACTTATATTATATCCTTTTAATTTTAGTCATATGAGAACAATGAAGAGATGAGGCGTAAAGCAAGACAAGAAGTTGTTGAAGAGCCTGTGACTCCAGTAGTTGACAAGGTATGATAAAATATAAATCCTCTGAAATCAGATGATTTATTTATTTATTTATTTATTTTTGTTACATATGAAAACCATTTTAACTTTTTCCTTAATTTTTTGCGTAGATCAAATTAGGGGAACCTGGGTACAAGGAAAGGTATTATAAGGAGAAGTTAAATTTAACAGATCCAAAGGAGATTGAAGAGGTTAAAAGGAAAATGGTGAGTTCCTTTTACTCTTTTAAGTTTTATCATAAGTTTCTTTAATAAACACAAATTACTTTATAAAAATTGTTTATTTTATTCAGGTATTGCATTATGTTGAAGGATTATGTTGGGTTGCTCGTTATTACTATCAAGGCGTATGTTCTTGGCAATGGTAAATAAAAATTATCCTAAAAAATTCTTTCTATTATTATTATTTGTTTTAAATTGCTCAAATTGACATTTTGTAGGTATTATCCGTATCATTATGCCCCATTTGCATCTGATCTTAAAGATTTAGCTGATTTGGAAATAACTTTTTTTCTTGGAGAGCCATTTAAACCTTTTGATCAGCTCATGGGAACCCTACCAGCTGCAAGGTACTTACTTACTTTACATCAACCAATAAGAAATCGACATGTGTCTTTTTGAATTAGTTTATATTATATCTTATTCGGTAATAATGGATTTGAATTCTTTAAAAAAAAAATGCTACAGTTCAAATGCTCTCCCTGACAACTACAGAAAACTCATGACTGATCCCTCATCACCTATAATTGAGTTCTACCCTTTTGGTAATTCCAACTAATCTTCTAATTTCCGCTAAATGTTTATTTATTAATAATCTTCATAACAATAAAATGTTATATACGTACATGTAGATTTTGACATTGACATGAATGGAAAGCGATTTTCATGGCAGGTAATATTGGTTAAAAATGTCAAACAAATATTTTTTCTTTACTAAATTATTTAATTTCATGATATTTTTTGTTCTTAGGGGGTAGCGAAATTGCCATTTATTGACGAAAAGAAGCTACTCACTGAAACAAGAAGACTTGAGGACACTTTAACAGTTGAGTATTTTGCTACATTTCAATCTTGATTTTTTGATGTTTTTATTTTTCAAATGCTATATTTAAAATATGAGTTTTTTTTTTTTTTACAGGAAGAAGAGCAAGCACGAAATAGTATTTGTTCTGATTTATTATATGTATCTCCACGTAACCCCCTGGCCCCACAAATTATTGCATACTATAATTTTTTCAGTCAAGTACACCCAACTCAAAGATGCCTGTGGCCAATTGATGTATATGCTAGGTTTGTTGTTTCTTTTTTTTTTCTTTTTTATTAATATAAATTTTAATTTTAAGTTTTTATGTTGGATTTATTCAGTGGTGGAATGAATGGTTACTTGTGGTTGTGTGAGAGAAATGGTTTCAGAATGGTGCTTCCTTCCCCAATTAATGGCTTAGGCGATATAGTCAATAACCATGTCATGTAAGTTCCCTTTATCTCAACAATTAAAAAAAAAAAATAGAAAAAACTTTTCTTTTAAAAAAAAATTATCGTTGTTTTGCAGAAATGCGACGTATATAAATCCAGCACCTCATAAACATATTCCAGAACCTCCTAAAGGTGTAGCCATGCCAAAGAAGGTGTGTTACTTTTTCACTTTTTTGTTTATATATTTATTGAAAGTATTATTATATTGACTTGTAATTGTAAATTTGTAATTATTATTATTTATTGCAGATTTTGAAACCTGTTGATATAAAACCGTTGCCTATTTTATGGCATGAAGATAATAGTGGACGTCGAGGGCAAGGCAGTTATAATAGGTACACTTGCAATTGCATCTCTCTTGCTAATAGCTCTTAAATATATAAGGGTATTTTGGTCCTTTTTTTTTTGTTTTTTAATGTATGATATTGCTATAATGATTCAGGCCGCAAGTACCAGGGGCAATACATGGAAACATGTTGGGCGAAGCTGCACATCGTCTCTTGAAAAACTCGCTGAATATAAGATCCAGTGGTCCGTCTTCCGGGTACTACGAGCAGTCAAATTACCGAAATACCCCTGGCAGCAACAATTTTCAACATAGACCAAGACCAGCCGGTCCTTCTGGGCATGGAAGAAACCCTAACGAAGATCAATTTTTTTACCAAAATTACCCCTCAAATCCTAGGGCTTCAATGCCTAGGCCCAAATTCGGTTTCTCCAGACCACAAGGGAATAATAATAATAATAATAATAATAGTAATTACACATATCAAGAACAATACCAAGATTTAAGTAATGGGATGGCTGGTTTATCAATGAATAATAATGGAATCAGAAACAGACAGTATCCGGTTAGGGGGGCGGCGGCACCACCACAGAGCTCCGGCAACCTCCCGACCCCGCCGTCTACTTGGATCAGTAGACCGTCTTCTTCAGCTGCCATGGGAGGGGATGGAAATGGAAATGGAAATGAGAAAGATGTAAAGAAGGTTTATCAAATCAAGAGTAGGGTTCCACTTTCACAGGAGGAATCTGTTTCTGGTAATAATGGAGGAATATAATGGGGGGTTTAGTAATAGTAACTTAGTTTGTTTGATTTTTATTAGAGACATTTGAAGGTTGTAGTTGTTTGTTGTATATCTTCTTGGTTTATACCACAGGATTAGTCAAAAGGATAGAAAAAGGGAATATGCATATACCTCTGCAATTGTGTAAGCACATTGACATTGTAAGTTAACTTGTTTTCATTATTTTTATCAACTTTGTTTATTTTATTTAACTGTTTGTAACTGGATTTGTCATTTGTGTTCTACTTTGGATACATTAATAACTTGATACAATAATGAACTATGCTCTGTGTACACATTTATATATATATATTTTGTGTACGCTTTTTATCATGAAACTTATATTTGTGTTGGTTTATCAAGAATTCAAGATGGTGGTGTCGTTTGATTTTGTTGAAGATCTCATTTTCAACAAATAAAATATAAAATGGTGTAGTTCAAAACCTGCTTCTTCCATTTTCTGGTTTCTTGCAAAAATGAAGATAATCCAAATCTGGAAAAGGTACGATGTAGAAACGAAAAAATCTAGAAAAAGAATCTTAGAAAATCACAAACAAGGTTCACACCAATCCAAATCAAAACCCACTTCCTCAATTTCATCTTGTATGTTTTTGGCCTAGAACAAGAACTTTGTATCCTCCACCTATGATAAAGATTCAAGAAGAAAAAAAAACCAACTCGAGGAGTGATTCTTGACCTCTCACATATATCCCTCGGTTGAAGCCATGAAGCCCTTATCTCCTATATTGAGTGTTTTTTTTGTTGATGGACTATGGATCATGCGGGTGGAAAGGGGCGCAAACGAGCCAAGCTACTCGCGAGCTATTCGAGATCGGATCGTTAAAAGCTCGACTCGAAACCGATTTTAAACGAGCCCGAACCAAGCTCGAACTTAATATTAAGCTTGTTTATTAAACGAGCTCGAGCTCAAGCCTATGTTACAAAGCTCGATTAGGCTCGCGAGCCTAAATGAGCCCTTATATAATATTATTTATTATTATTTATATATATTAAAATAAAAACATATTAGGGGAATTATGAATTTCGGGTATTAGTTAACGAGCTTTTTAACGAGCTTGAGCCGAACTTAAGCTTATTTAGGCACGCCCGATAAAAATGAGTCGAGCCCGAGCCTGAGCCGAGCTTGTATAACTCTTTACGAGCTCAAGCCGAGCTCAGTAAAAGAAAGCTCGAATCGAGCCGAGCTCGAGCTCGAGCCTCATATAACTTAAATGAGCCCAAGCCGAGCCTGATCGGGTTCGGGCTCAGCTCGGCTCGTTTGCACCCCTAATGGAGGAAACATTTGTTAACTCAAAAGATGCCAAAATGTCTATGGTGGCCATGTCTGCGATCAACAAGGTTGATAACATTTGATTGTAACATATATCGAAAGAATTATGAACTGTTTCGGTTTTTAACACCAATATACTAAAGTAAATTACCAATAAAATGGTAGTTCTTTCTCTCAAGACATATTAGCAATAATGGAATCAAAAATATTGGGAGAGTTCAAGAATCTTTCTATCGATATTCACTTGTAATTGTGGGCTAGCATAAATATATTGGAAAACTTACAATAACAATATCCGGCATGCATCACGAGATACAAGCAACTACACAAAGCACATTGTCATTAGTCATTACAGTTTGACTATTTTTATTGTTTAACCACTTTATTTCACACTTGTCAATAAAAACCACTCAAGTTTGACTATTTTTTTATGTGGTAGGTTACACTAAAAAAATCTATCAAAGTTTAGTAGCTTTAGTGATATATTAACACTAAATGTTCAAGCCATTGACAAATTTATTGTTCTTACCGCTTTAACCTATATATATATATATATATATATATATATATATATATATATATATATATATATATATATATATATATATATATATATATATATATATATATATATCAAGCCAAAGTTGTCCATAGAGGGAAAATGCGCAAACATGGCTGACTATTTGTAACATCCTCTCTGACACGTATCATAATATTGTCCGCTTTGTTGTTGTATGATTATCTGTTTATGTTTATTTTCTGGTATATGTCGATATATTGTGTTGGGTTGGGTTGAGGCTGTACTGTTCCGTGCGGTAGCCAAAAAATCTTGGAGCATTCCAGATATGAGTTGAGGGTCGGGTAGGGCATGCCAGACTCATACTAAGGGCTCATGAGTATTCCAGATACGAGCTGAGGGTCGGGTAAGGCATGCCAGACTCCTACTGATGGCTTGATGGTATTCAGTCCAATAATTGATCTGGTCGGGGAGCAAACTAGACATAAGCTGTGGGCCGCAAGGGCAAGCCAAACTTAAGTTGTGGGCTCAGAAGTAATCCAAACTTTTAGCTGTGGACCCATTGCATGCTGTTATTGTATATTTATATTATTTGGTTATGTGTTGGTATTTTGGGGGAACTCACTAAGCGTTGAGTTACAGTTTGGGGTTATATTTCAGGTACTTCAGATGACCTTGGGAAGGCGAAGGCATGACAGTACACATCTTCATGTTTTTGACCTATGATTTTGGAAACTCTAATGTTGAAATACTTTTTGAAAACTATGTTTGTAAACAATTTGTGAAATTGATGGATTTTTAAAAGTTTAAATTTATCAATGGTTTTATGAGTGTTACAGTTGAGGAGGACGATTTACAGATTACGTTGGTGATAAAGAAGATGAGATTGAGAAGAAGATATGCGTATTGTGTTGGGAGAAAAATGTGACATCCCCATTTTCACGGCCAGAAAAAACCGATTTGTTTATGCTTTATTTAAACCAAGAGTATTTTTTTGAATTAAAGTGTTGCAGAATTTGTTCCCACAAAAACATGATAAATACGTTATCAAAGCATTTCTGAAGAAATGTATTTTTATTCATTTTAAAACATTGGAATGTCATCGTCAATACAAAAACATAAGCATAAATAGAACTTACATTCATTATCACTAGTAGTTTATATCTCCTTAATCTCTCAGTGTAATGTAACTTTATATCGACACTTGTGATACAAATAAACTGAGTGAGTCAGATTGGGAAACCTAGTTAGTACATAGGGATTTCAATCCCACAATGTTATATATATATATATATATATATATATATATATATATATATATATATAATTTAGAAGTCACGATATATACAATTTCACATCATATAAGGAATTCCATCCCACCCCGACGATCCTTACAACGATACGATCTATACTCTCAGATCTAAAAATTACCGTATTTCCTAATCCATACTCCTGGATCTGAAATTAACCTCTTTTCCTAATCCATACTACCAAAGGGCTTGTAGCCCAGCGGTATCAGGTGATGTCCTCCCTCTTTGAGGTTGAGGGTTCAAGTCCGGTCGTGGACATAAGTGGAATAGGTATTGTTAGTTTAAAAGTAGAATAGATTTGTCGGTTCAAACAAAAAACCTAATCCATACTCCTGGATTTAAAATTAACCTCTTTACCTGATCCATACTCCCGGATCTAAAATTAACCTTTTTACCTGATCCATACTCCAGGATCTAAAATTAAACTTTTTACCTGATCCATACTCCCGGATCTAAAATTAACCTTTTTACCTGATCCATACTCCAGGATCTAAAATTAAACTTTTTACCTGATCCATACTCCCGATCTGAAATTAACCTCCTTACCCAATCCATACTCCCAGATCGGGTATGTCTGATTCATACTCCCGGATCAATAATTATGCCCATTCCATACTCTCGGACTAGGGACAATTGACTATGTCTAATCAATGCTCTTAGATCATTGACAAAATTAAAATTCGACTCTCTGTGTATATCTCGCTCGTTCTCATAAAGGGATACTACCCAATATTCCTCTTTATTAATTTAGGTTTACTCTATATCCTAAATTATCGTATATTATCAGATATGCACTTAACACATATTTCAGGCACTATCAAATATTTTACACACCAACAAACATTTAATACATTATTCAATGGTTGTATTAAAATCATGTTCATGAAAAGGATTATGCACTCACTTGTTAAAGTGATGATTCCAAACTCGGGCAACGCTTCGCTTCTAACAATTCTATTTTCCTTCGACGAAACCTAGCACTATTATGGCTAAATTTTATTCTAATCTTTATTGTGACTAATTATTAGTCTAGATTCAGCATTAACTCAAAGTCTACTTCATGATTTATCAAGTAAGGATCAGCAAGGCATGACAGTTAGGAGGCAGGACCATTTCAGCATATAGCTTTTCTGAAATCCAACAACTAAACCCAACGTGACCATTCTAGACACCTCTCCTGTAAGTAGTTCAATCAGTATAACGACTTTAAATCACTGATAAATCTTATTTATAGGTTCATAATAACGATATTATACTTATATATAAGTTATATTTAAAATATGGTAGGCGTATCTCACTTACAACATGTTTTTATTAAAAACCGGGCTTCGCTGGAGCAGCGTTTCCGAGCCGAAAAGCTCTTTTTCTCGGAGCCGCCGGGCGCTCCGGGCCTTTCCTCTAGTACCTTGAGGCTACTAGGGCTTTAGGAGGGTTTTTTTTTTTTTTTGGGGGGGGGGGGGGGGGAGGGGGGGGGGGGGGGGCGGGCTTGGAGAGATGTTAGAGAGAGAAAGAATTAAGGAAAGGTGTGAGAAAGAATGAAGGCCTTGCATTTTATTTATAGGTTGAAACACAACTTAACTCGTCGAGTTGGGTGCCACATGTCACCATCTGATGGCAAGACTTGGGGAGAAAACAATGGCTCAGATCGCACCACGTCACCCCCTTCGCAGCAGCACCCTGTCGACTTCTAAACCCATAACTTTCGCATAAGAGCTCTGTTTTCGACATTCTTTTTATCCATGCGTAGGTATTGATAAGATCTACAACTCTCCTTTTGACTTCGTCGGCTAATATTTGACCGATTTTAAATTTAACAGTATAAGAAGATTACACTGTTAAATGACCGTGTAAAATTCATAACTTCTACATACGGAAT